TGTTTTCATTTTTTAGACTAAAAACAGTCGCCCACTTCGTACCAATCAGATCTATGCTCAAGATGAGGGTGCCACCCACACACAACTTTATACTAATCATTTTGAGATGATGAAAATGATTGCAGGGAAAAGAAGTCCACCTATCAAACCTCTGTAAGTTTAACTGGGATCATTCCATCTCCCTGTCACCCCGGATCTCCTGGAAACTGTATTCGGAATTGCTCTTGCAACTGAGAGTCATTTTACGCTCTGTTTCAAACTGCTGTTTTGTTTCTCTGTTCTTGGTCTCTTCCCTTGCGTCCTGGCCTTCTGTTATTGGAACACCTTCATATTTCATGTGTTTGGGTTAGCTCATACTCACTGCATGAATTTGTTTTTGAGTGATTAAGAGCAGAAGAGCAGTTAGTTGTTTTTTGTTTAATCTACTTTATAAACTACACTTTCCATTTGCCTGAGTTGTAAACATTTTGATGTCTGTGCTGTTTAGTAGTGCATTGTTTTCTATGCATATTCCTGCAGTAACTTTTTCTGTATTCATGTAATATTTACTCTGAGTCTTTCTTAAAATGTCTATCTGTATGCAGGCTCCAGTACTGGTGGGAATATCATGAAAAATTCACCAAAACGGCGGTGTCATCCACTAAAACATGTGAAATTAAATACTTTTTTTGAGTTTTTTCTGTCTCCAGTAATACAGTTTTGCTCAATTTCAGACTTGGCATGAATCCTTTCCAGAAGAATCCAAAGCATGCATCAGTGCTTGCAGAAAGGTGAGCACTTTCTGTCTGAAAGGAGTTACGAATTGCATAGAAGTGCTTTTTTATTTTCTTTTTTAACTTTCTGTTATTTATTTTTAACGATTGTGTGGTTTGTCTTACCATTCTTTCTAGTGGAATCAATTATGATAAGCCACTTCCTCCAATTCAAGTTGCATCCCTCCGAGCAGAACGTATTGCAAAAGAGAAAAAGGTACAGTCTCCATCTCAGCTGTACATATGGCTGCAGTAATTAAAAAATTAGACAACAGAGGAAGTACGAGAAAAGCTGCCTGCTGGGAGAAGTTTGGTGGTGCAGTAGGTGTTATGGGCAGCTGCAAATTGTTCACGTACTAGGGTTTAGATATGCAAGGTCCAAAGTAGAACCTTTCCTTGGGCCTGTATGTCACACTCATACTCACAGAAGCATCTTTTTGGAAAACATGCTAAAACCTTGTAAAAATCTTGTTTTATTTTTGACTGTTCTGTAGCCTCCTTTCTTATGTTACTCAGAAAAAGATACTTGCCCTTGCTTGTTCATGGTGAATTGCTTGTTGTGCTATGCTCCAAGCTATACAACCATGACTGTAGCTTGTAGTTTGAAACTATTTAGGTCATGTAACTTAGAGTTACAGTGAAGACAGATTTGTATACTGTCTTCTGCACACATATAAATTACAGGCTTACAATTAAAGGGGTTTTGTTTGTTGTTTTGTTTTTTTAAAAATACATCCTGGTCGTTACGTGCACTGTTTTGAAGACTATGAAGCTCACACTTTGATTTCCTAGGCTTTGGCTGAACAGCAGAGGGCACAGCAACAGGCAGGTCCGCAGCCTCAGCAGCAGCAAGCTGGCCAGCAGCAAGCTCAGCAACCAGCTGTCCAGCAAGCGCAAGCCCAACCTCAGCCGCAGGCTCAGGCACAGGTAGTTCAGCAGCCACAGGCAGTAGTGCAGACTGCAGTAACTACTGTGGCCAACACAGCAGTATTGGTAAGAAAGGGAGAGCTTGGTGCCTCTGATGTAGTAACTTCAGTTCTTCTGTGTGTACCGTATTTGTGTGTTTTACTTTCTCTGGCAAGTGTGAATTTTAGTTCAGTGTAGTAAGATAAAAACTTTTTCTTTCTTTCTTTTTTTTTTTTTTTTTTCCTGAGTATGCTGGGCATTTTTGCTCATTTATTAAGACTGTGTTCATACCATTATAGCAATAGGTCTTGGCATTCTGAGGTGGAAAAACACCATATCCTTTGCAAAGATTTGTTGCCTTTTTCAGTTTAGACTTTAATTTAATCAAAGTCTGAGCAGACACATTTACACAGTCAGTGAGCAGTGTTATATAGAGAACTTAGACAATTAAAGAGAATGTAGCTGTAAAAGCTACTCTGTTAAAGTAGCTTAAAAAACAAAGCTTTATTAACCTTTGTAAGGCGAGTGGAACGTTGCATCCTACAGGACCTATCATGGTTGTTTTATTGCAAATCTGTGCAAAGTTTTCATGGCTTCCTTAAATCTAGAGTCTGTTTTAATGAGTCTGATGACAGGTCTGGGGCTTTTGTTTTTGGAGCCAGTCCAGTTTGCATACTAATGTGTGCAGGCAGCAGTGATTTTATTTTGCTTGTTGAAGGGCAAGAATACTACAGGTTTTACAGAAAGAGACAGAGGATGGGTTCTGACCCATAAGTGTTGCTGTGTATCTGCTGCTCAGTGATGTTCACGTACAAGTGGTTGTCTGTGGTGCGCCAGAGTAATGTATTGCTCCCTTCTTCTGCTAACAAGGATGTCAAACGACCAGTATTTACCAAACATTTGACTGGTCTCCAATTGCTCATTAGTGTGGCAGAATCCCAATATATACATCAGTTGTTGTTGAGATGTAAAATGAATGAACTGCTGCAGAAGTATCTGTGCATTTTACTGCATTTTTCTTATTCTGTCACTTCTGGACTACAGCGTTGTGTTAAACAGCGTAGTAGCGTAAGAGCTATATTCAGTTTTCTTTTATCGTTTTTCTGAACTGTTACCTCAATTGTCTTCTAAATAGGCGGGCACAATCAAAACAGCAGTTACGGGGACAAGTATACAGACTGGTAAGAAGACTTTATAATTAGGCATTGGAGATGATAGGACGTTTGGATTTTCATTTTTAGAATCTCACATTTAATCCTGGCTTGCTTTCAGCTACAGTGAGTGGAAATGTCATAGTGAATACTGTTGCTGGAGTCCCTGCTGCTACCTTCCAGCCCATCAATAAACGTCTGGCTTCACCTGTTATACCTGGAACATTGGCTGTGAGTAGATCGCATCACTAGTTGTGTCCCTGGACTGATCTTGGTTGCATGTTTTATCAGTGTATCTGTTTTCTTCTTTAGCTTTCTGTGTTATCAGAAACTCTGCTTCTTGCACATTTCATGTGCATTCTGTGATTCTGTATCAAACCACTCTTCCCTTACCAAAATGTCAGAACACACTGGAACGGTTTATCAGAAAAAAGTGCCTAATAGGCAGTACTGTTAAAAATAGTTCATAGATGAGTGCTGTCATAGGCAATGTGTCATTATCATTTCCAGCCTGTAACTGTTTTGTGCTTTGTTAATTATGACTTTTATTATTATTTCAATGGTGTAAGGCTGTGGAAGATAAGGCAAAAAATGGAAAGGCAGTAAAATCAAATTTCTGTAAATGTAGTTACGGGTTTGGTGATCGGCCTGTTTGAAAAAGATTTAACCAGATGCCGATTATGAGATGTGTCCTTTGGGATGACAGGGTTAGGTTAAAGGTTGGACTCGATGATCTTAAAGGTCTTTTCCAACCAAAGTGATTCTATGATTCTAACAGATAGGTGTGTTGAAAGCTTTGGACCTTCTTTGCTTTTGCAGTGCTTTTGCACTGTTGATGCTTGTTTCTAAAATTTCCAGAAGGAAATTCTAAAGTTTCCAGAAGGTTCCATAGCCTTATATCAGGTATGGAAACTGTGAGAAATAATGACTTTGTTCCTTTTCAGACTTCGGGAGGCACTGCAACTGCACAAGTGGTACATACCCAGCAGCGAACTGCGGCAGCTCCTGCTGCTTCCACAGAACTGGTGACTATAGCATCTACCCAGGGAGTTCGTGCAGTAACATCAGTGACAGCATCAGCAGTTGTAACTACAAACTTAACACCTGTGCAGACCCAGACAAGATCTTTGGTGACTCAAGTTACACCAGGTAATAATTTTGTGTTTAGGGATTTTTTCCAAGGGTACATAAAGGGCCCCAGAATTTCTGCAGGTTGCTTGACGACCATAGCTCCACAATATTGAAAGTCTGGATTTGTTGGCAGCACAATTAAACGGTGCTATCATTTTTTAACTTGCTTTATCATTGGTGCTCAGATTACATATTTGTCCAGTATTTCTGGATACAGTGTTGCAGTAGAGAGCTGCTTGGCCCCTAGGCATTACAATTAAAAATGATTATTAATAATCCAGCAGTAAAATATTAGAATTGACTGGCTCACTGTTCACAATCGTCATTGTGAAGAAAGGAGCATATATTTTATTATTTACTCTGCTTTTACATCATGTTTGTGCTAATGCGTTGTTATTTGTAGTTAGTCCACAAACTGTGCTGGAGCAGAAAATATGCATTTAACAGCTTGGCTTTTCAGGTGAAATCAGTGAATTTAAACTGAATCTTGAAAATCTTTCTTCAGAGCATTTTGTTTTTTCTTTATTCACAGCTACACCAACAGTCCAGCTGTCCGGCAAAACAATCACCCCTGCTCACTTCCAGCTTCTGAGGCAGCAGCAGCAGCAGGCTGCTCAGGTGCAGGTCCCACAGATTCAGGCTCAGGCACAAGCCCAGTCTCCAGCTCAGCTGA